ATTCACTAGGAGGTTTCACTCAAGCCCCAGTATCAGACACACACGTGGCCCAAGTCAGTTCTTGGGGGTGTTCTATCATGAAGCACTATAAATGATATCAACCCAGAGAATGTAGACAGAAAAGAATGGAGTTTATAACAGCAGCTGCATTTTAAGATGTTAAAACTAACTGGTTTTCTGTCTCTTCCCTATTCCCAAACTCACCTATTTTAACAGTTTTCAATTAATAAGTGAAACCAGAGAGTCAATGTGTTTGAGTCTGCTTTAGTCAGCAGTTTTTTGTCTCTAAGACCAAAATACCTGACAAGAACAACTTAGAGGAGGAAAAGTTTATTTGGAGCTCATGGTTTCTGAGGTCTCAGTCCATACATGGCTGACTCCATTGCTCTGGGTCCAAGGAAAGGCAGTACCCAAGAAAGGGCCCAAAGAAGAAGGATGCTCAAATCATGGTGGCCAGGAAGCAGAGAAGAGGGGAGGGGGCCACAAGGAAGATGCACATTTCTGGTGCATTCCCCCAGTGACTCACCTCCTTCAGCCATGCCTCACCAGTCTACAATTACTCTCAAGTCAGTCCATTCAAACTAGGATGGATTGATTAGTTACATCTCTCATAATCCGAATTTTACCTCTAAATATTCCTGCATTAACAGGAGCTTCTGGGAGGATAACTCACATCCAAATCATAACATCCTGACACATATCGTCCCATGATTCAAATATGTGCTTCCAGACATTAAAACTGTTCTGCACAAATGTGGTTATCAGCATTATCTGTATGATGCCATTTTATTTAGAACACTGTTTTTTTGTAATTATTATGTGAATTTATTGTATATTCTTTTGAAGAGCCTCAAATTTTCAATGGAAAATCTTTGTCCTTTGAGGGTGGATTTGATTTTTAGAAATGGTCAAATCCTTTGACAAATATGGTAAGTGATCCAGCCAGTTAACTCTACTTGAGGTTAAAATAAATGTAATTATTAAATAAAGATAGTAACGTCTTATATAGTATCTACACATTAGTACCTCAAACATACCTGTCTTAAGACCTTTGAATTTCCTGAAATCTTTTTATAGCATACTATTTTTTCACTCATAGAAGAATTAAGGGTAATTTCAAAAAGGTCTTCTCTTGAATACCCTAATGCAGACTGATCTGGCTCAACACCCATATTTGTCCACATAAGGGTTTTGTCTATTTCTTTAATAAGTTATTATCATTTACTATTATTTTTTTGTACCAAATATTGAACTCAGGGACACTTAACCACTAGGTCATATTCCCAGTCCTTTTTTGTATTTTATTTAGAGACAGGTCTTGCTGATTTGCCAAAGGCCTTGCTAAGTTGCTAAGACTGGCTTTGAACTCGAGATCCTCCTGCCTCAGCCTCCCAAGTTGCTAGGAATACAGGTGTGTGCCACCACAGCCAGTAATTTTTGTTACTGTTTATCTCTCCTTCTGGATCTGTGCTGTCCAATATAGCAACCATTAAAAAATGGTTATTTAAATTTAAATTAATTACAATTATATAAAATTAAAGGAAAAAAATTAACAAATTAGGTACCACTAAAATGAAAGAAATTCTTTTCTTTGGAAGATGCTATTTGGAGACTGAAAGACAAGTCACAGACAGAGAAAACATTTTACAAATCTCATATATATGACAAAGGATTTGGAACCAGAATATATCAATTACTCTCAAAACTCAATAATAAAGCTAACAGCAATTAAAACTGAGCAAAATATTAAAATAAACACTCAACCAAAGATAACATATGGCTCAAGATAAGCACATGAAAGATGCTCAAAATCATAGTTATTAAGGAAACACAAATCAAAACCACTGAATACTAATTTACACCCCACTAGTACAACTATAAATAAAAACATAGATGATAACAAGTGTGGGGAAAATGTGGAAAAATCGAACTCCAAAACACTACTCATGAGACTGTGAAATCACTTTGGGGGAAAAAAAAACAAAAAACCCTTAACACTGTCTTAGAAGTTAAGTATATACTAAAAAATGACCCAGTAATTTTATACTAAGTGTTTACCTCAAACAAAATCAAAGTTCCATGTAGATTTGTACATGAACATTCACATTGTAACAGTCAAAAACTGGAAATAATGCAAATGATAAATGATAAATAACTAAACACACTTTGTTCTACAGGTTGAATATCTCTATTTTAAAAATCTGAAATCCAAAATGCTCTAAAATCAGAAACTTTTTGAGCACTGATATTAAGCTACAAGTGCAAAGTTCCAGGCTAACCCTCATGTAACAGACTGCAATCAAACCACAGGTGCACTAAAATTATTGTACAAAATTAACTGCGAGCTATGCATATAAACTACACAAAACATAAATGAATTTCATGTTGAGATTTGAGTGCCTTCTCTGAGATATCTCATTATGCATTCTAGGCACTGAGAAGAGAGCCTAAAACAATATAGATAATGTGTCCATCCTAAAGGTTTTCAAAATCTGGTGAGGGGTGCAGGTAACAGATGAGAAAGCAAATAAGAAAATACCAGGCAAAGTGTAATGCTAATGAAGATAAAGCTGAAGGTACAGAGTATGACCAAAGGCAACTTTCTTTTAGATAATCAGAACAGGCCTCTGGGAAACCTAAGATCTAAACATTAAGAGTAAACAACATAAAGACCTGAGGCAGGTACAGAAGAAATAGCAAGGCCTTAAAAATAGGCATGAATGTGATAGCTTTACCTTTGAAAAAGAAGACCTACTTGGTGGAAGAATACACAAATAAGGGAAAGGGGGAAGGCAGGTAAGTGGGAGAAGCAGATGCGGCCAAGAAAAGATTTTAATTATAAAAGTGATGGAAAACCACTTCAGGATTTTAAGCAGGTGAGCAACATGATAAATTCACATTTAAAAAAAAATATCATTTGGTACTGCTAAATGAAGACTGGATTATGGAAGGACAAGAAAGGTGTTAAGACAATGAGTTTCTGCAAAGGTACAAGTGAGAGATGAAGCAGAAATTCAAGATACATTTCCAGTGACAGTAGCTTTTCTGATGGAGGTTGTTGCAGAGTAAGGAAATGAGTTGAAAATGAATCCTAGATTTTTGGCCTGAACAACTGGGACACAATGCTTTGAATTACAGATACGGGAAAAAATTACAAACAATAAGTGCTAGCATTTAAATAGACCCTTAAGTAGACACTTATATGTCATCATTTACTCATTTCATATTTATTTTTTCCAGCAAACTTGGAGAAGTAGGCACTGGCTTGGTAATATATCAACCCATTATGTTTTATAATGAAGGACACCATCTTGGAGACAGGAGACTATTCTGAGTAAAAGGAACATGGGAAAAAAGGGCAAAGCAACCCTTCATTGACTGGACAAGTACTACTTCACAAATGATGAAGCTACTTTTAATGCTTGCTCCCTTTACCAGCATGATTAGTTAACCTTGATTAAAAAAAAAAAAAGAAAAAGAAAGAAAATTGTTCAGGAATATAAATCGGATTTTTTTCCAATTCCTTAAGTTTACAAAAATAAACAATGCTTTAAAATCTATATCAATTACTGAACATTCATTTACCTTCCTAAATGTGCTGCTAACTTGGTAAATTCACAGGTGTTTATTTAGATAGAGTTGATCACACACATCCTCCCTCCATTTCTAAAGAGGAAAAAACGACAAGGACAAACGGCAGTCTCAATACATCAAAGGCTGAGCCGGCACTAAAGCCCATACATCAAGTTCACAGACACCCCTAGATTGCTCTGCGACATGGTCAAGGTCCTTGGGAGCTCACATACACGTCTATACCTGATGCACCCATCTCCCTTCTCTTCAGCTGACCTCTAGACAACCCACCATCCCGATGGGAAGATTTATGAAAGGCCATAAAATCTGGACAAGCAGGGAGCCTATGTAATGTGTAACCCCTTCCTGAGTCTCTAGTTATAGCAGCAACGCAATGCCTTAACATTTTTCTTAAGAGCTAGATGATCCCCTCTAATCGCAACTTGTTTCCAGAAACGCTGCAAAGGCACCACCATGACAAGGAACGAAAATGGCCAAATATCCGAAGGTCTTGGGCTGCAGAAGGGGGAAGCAGATATCACTAAAAACACCCAAAACAACTCCAGAGAAAGACTAAGCCGCAGCCAGCAGCTCGTTGCCCACGTGCACTTGCTCAGCTAACTGTTCCAAAGAAACCTGACCCGGGTCGGAATCCTCCCACCTCTGCGCGCCGCCTTTATGGCAAGGCAACGCTACAAGTTGTTACCCGCAACCCTTCTCCCACCTTTGAAAGAAACGCGCGCTGATCCCACATTCACACGACACCCCGTCCCTCTCCTGCATGGCCGGCCCCAACCGCGCGCTGGGAGCTCAGGTCGCAGGCCCGCGCCTCCGCCTTCCACCACAGCCCACCGGGCTCGCACCCAGCCCGGCTCTAGGCCGGGCCAAATTTCCTGCCCGTAGCTTGGACTGTTAGCATCCTACATCTGCACCTCCAACTCTGACCACCACCCTGGAGCCGGGTATCGCCGAGACCTTGGCGCCCGGCGTGGGAGCACACCCTTCCCCGCTCCGCCGCGCCAGGTGAGGGGCCGAGCCCGCAGCCCCGCAACCCCGCAGCCGCCTACCTTCCTAATCGCCGGCTGTGGCGCCCGGGCAGGCGCCACCGGCCCTGATGACATCAGAGCTGACCCCGCCAAGGCCACCTCGGTGATCCGGTGCCCAGCCCCCGGAGGGAAAGGCGACCCCCAATCCGAGTCGGCGCTCGGGAACCGAGGGAGATGCTGGGCTGCGGTTCCAGCGGCGGATGAAGACGGGGAGCGGGGGCTGCGGTCCGCTGCAAAGGGAATCAAGACTCTAGATACCGCGAACAGGGGGCTTCGCGGATAACTCGGGGGGGGGGGGGGGCGACAGCGCGGCGCGGCGCGGCGTGAGGGGCGAGCGAAGGCGGGAATGTCTGCTCGAGGCCCCCAGCTTAGCCTCCTCACCTTCTTGGTGCCGGGGCCTCCCGCGATTCGTGACACTCCTGTCAGGGAAGAGGAGCGCCCAGGCTGCCCACCTAGAGTCTCCTGCTGGGGGGACATCGCTTCCATGAAGAAAATCTGCAAGCAAATCCCAGCCTAGGAAGAGGCTAATTGGTCATGTCCGCGGCCGGCAGCTGGAGGGGCGACGACGCGCGTGCCGAGGCGCCACCGTCGTGCTCAGGTAGGGAGCCGAGCTCCGGTGAGGGCGGCTCGCCTCCCGTCGGGGCCATGTACCGCAGCCTGCGCGCGGCGCCGCGGGCTGCAGGCGATTACAGCCGCGACCGCCAGTCAGAACCACGGCCCGCCCCGCCTCGGGCCCGCCCCCTCCGCTCCGGGCGCGGGAGCCGGGACCGCCCCCCGCCTCCCTCTTCAGGCTTCCGCCGTCCCCTGAGGGCGGGCAGCGCGGGTGCCCGAGTGCATATAATATTAGGGACCGGGCGACTGACAGTATCGGACCTATGCTCCCAGTGGGCCCTGCCCTAAGAAGCTCACCCACTCAGGTCATGCACGAGGGCCTGAAATGCATAACAGTCGGCTCTCACGCAGCCCTGCCCACTCCCACCCGACCCCTTCCTTTCCCGCGGCGTCCGGGGGAAAGGCGCCCCTTCAGCGCTTGCATCTGTGGAGCGGTGGCGACCTCAGCCTGAAACAGAGGAGTTGCAGTGATTCCCCGCCCGCTTTCAGCGGACTGCGGAGAACCCCCACCCCCACCCTACGCCCCAGGGCTCGGGATGGGGTTGCACGGCTCAGAGTGCAGCGGCTGTTTAAATTTGGAAGCCCCATGTCATCGCTTGACTTCTTGTGCAGTTCTCAATCGCTAAGGCTAGACTGGTAACACGGCTGGCTTAGGCAGCCGCTGGGCAGCAGCCCTTGCACGTTTACACCCGCGGTTTCCGCTGTCTGTGGATGCAAAGATGCGGGCTTTCCGAATGTGAAAGCGCAATTAAGGAAAATGCAGGCAGTGAGGACGTTGAAATCTGGCTTAGCTATTGAGAAGGCTACAATATGTGGAAGTGTTTATCAGATATCTGCGCTGAGAGCATAGTTTCCTGTTAGCCCAAATACTGGCTTTTTCACCCCCTTCCTGCCTGAAGAGTAATCAGAGGAGGGGATTTGGAGCCAACCTGGGTTGAGTTAGTATTGCTGCGCTTCGCAGGACTGGCCGACTGGTGCGGAGGATTCGGTAGGTGGCATTCTTCCCTTGGAGTCAGGACTAGAAAAAAAAAAAAATCCGGCAGCAGATTAATGAGGGGAAGGATACCACTCTATGATACTACGTGGTTGCGGGATTGGTTTGTTTTTATGATAAGAAGGAAAAAAAGCAAGGTTCCTGCCGGGTTGGGCTGTTATTAGGAGAGGTTGTAGAAGAATAGAACTCTGGCAGGCTCTGTTCCAAGCAAGGGATTCTGTCCAACACACACACACACACACACACACATACACACACAACCAGCAACACCACCAACCACCAGGTTTCTTATTGTGAAAATAATGGAGATACAGTGTTCCAGTTCATTTTAAGCCTTGTCCATATCACATTGTTTAAAGTAGGCTTGTATAGGCCTTTATGAATCATATGAATATGCACACACATATATGGGATTTATAATGCATATATAACTGGAAACACTCAGTTTTTAAGGGGGACTCTTTGCAGCTGAAACCAGTGTGCAGCTACTGGACTTTGCATCCACCGTAGAGTTTTATCATGAATTTTGCACTGCAGAGCCTTGCATTTCCTCTATTTCGTGTTTAAATCATCCTTTTATGACTTGTTTGTCTTGTTTAATTCCTATCATGAATGGACATTCCCAATTTTTCGAACTATGCTTCATTTTTTAATTTCAGTAACATTTATCTCAATACCTAAGGTAACATTATATTTAATGTATATTCCCTATACCTCAGAGGAATGTAAGCTTCCAGAGAACAGGAATCTTTTGTCCTTTTTTGTTCATTTTTTTTTAACTTTTTTTTTGTTCTAAATGTTTATTTTTTTTTATTGCCCTAACGCAGTATCAGGCGAAATCATTGTTTGTTGTTAAATCAATCAATGAAACACACAAAGAATATGAGAGATCTGGAAGGGCCGGACTAGAGTTGGTTGTTTCACTCAGAAATCTCCATGAATCATAGAATATTTTTGTGTGTGTGACAAATGCCTTGTGCTCCTTCAAAGTATTATTTTTACTACACATGTGGAAAACTCACTTTCACTTCTTAATTTGGAAGTGCTTTTATTCTGAAATCGGTTAGTTTGGGTTTGCAGAGAAAACCATCTCACCCCTCCCCCATGAGGAGTTTTGAGGCAAGTTTCACTTCCTAAAGAAATTTGGGCTACTTCAAATTATCACCAGAGTAATGTTTGAGCACAAATCCAGTCACATCACTCCCTTTGGCTTCTTATGTTTATAGGATAAATTTCAAATGCCATAGTATGATGTAAAAGGCTGCTCAATAATCTCATCCCCCCAGTTCTTTCTCACTGTCCCACTCAACTTTTTCTCCTTTTAAGAACTCACCCTGACTTTTCACATCTTCATGAGTTTGAACCTGCTATTCTCATTGTCTCTTATATTTTCATCCCCATTACACTAGTACATGGTGCTTAGAAAATACCCAATAAATATTTGTTGAGGAAATCTTTAGGACTTCAATTAGAAATTACCTCAGAGAAAGTTTTTTTCTTTATTTCAAGGTTAAGTGCATCTCTTTAATTGTAACATAACATTTTGGGGGTGCTTACTTTATACCAGATACTGTCCTAAGCATTATATATCTATGAATTCACTTTTTTTTTTTTAATACCAGAGATGATTGAATTCAGGGGCACCAACCACTGAGCCATTTTGTATTTTACTTAGAGACAGGGTCTCATTGAGTTGTTTAAGATTTCACTGAGTTGCTTAGCGCCTCACAGTTCTGAGACTGGCTTTGAACTTGCAATACTCAGCCTCTGGGATTTCAGGTGTGCAGCATTACGCCAGGCTGAATTCACTTTTGTCTTTATAATAAACCTATTCGATAGATTCTCTAACACCCCCATTTACAGATGGAAAAACCAACAGCTGGTAATTAATCAAGCCAAACTTGAACCTGAGAAGTCTGCTTCAGAAACTGTATTCTTAATCATTTGGCCAACTGCCTCCTATAAAGTGTGTGTTTCCTTCTCCTTATAACTCTACTGTAACTTCTTATAACTATATTATTTTCTGCATTATTTGCCTTAAAATAAAGAATTGTATTTTATTTGTCTTTTCTTCTTTATACCAGGAACACAAGTGTGCTCTCAATGACTTTTTTCTTAATCTCTTACATTTGAGTGAATGAATATAATATTAGAAACCACTATCTTCACTTCCATTATTAGGCTGCATAGTTTTAAGGACGATATTCTGATGGGTGAAGAAACAATTTTGGACTAGTACATTAATTCTTTAGACAATGAAACTACTGTGCACTGGAAATGCTATGTTGTAAAAAAGAGTGATGCCAGAAAACAGAAGTCATGATAAAACAACCAAAGAAGTGTGATGTCCAATACAAGCAGGACACATCTAGAATATTTTGAAACAAGCCTTAAAGCAAAGTACTAAGAACAGCAACAGTTAACAGTTGGGAAACAACACCAGCAGACCTTAGGATAAACTAATCTAATAATGAAGCCAATATTTGACCAACTATTGGCTTTTAAATGACAAGATGTTTAACTATAAAAGGAAATGTTCATGCAACCAATTCATTCAATCAATATATATGTGTAGGACACAGTGCCAGGCAATATAAGTCAGGGCATTATGGGTATACAGAAATAGTCCTTGTAAACCTCAAAATGCACACAGGAACCATCTTCAGTGCTATCCAAATTCCCTAAAACAGACTGCAAATGCAATACCTAACAGATGCCCTAGAGGGTAATTCAGGGATGTTTTTCAATATTTGCACCCTAACTCCCTTAAAAGTCAGAATATTTCACATCTAATTCTTGGTTTTCTGCGGGGGGGGGGATCAAGAATTGATAAAACTGGGCTCAACTTCTCTGAAAAAACCAATAAACTAAAACTGAGTCATAGCTATGTTACTTCATTTAATGCTCACAACAATCCTATGGGATATTTACTGTCAGAGTTACTACTGCCTCTGGTGCTGAGGAACTACTAACAGGTAAGGTCATGGAAAGCGAAAAAGTAGAAAGAGAGAACAGAGAAGAATGAGCAACATCATGTAGGTACGCTAAAAAAAAAAGAAAAAAAAGCCAACATAATGGTATGTTTCAAGAAGAGAAATAGTTGATAGTGTCTCATGTTGCAAGAGTTGAAGCTGGTGAAGACTAAGGTGTAATTTGAATAGGAAAGGTTAAGATTGCTCTTTGAAGAAATTTAATTGACAATAGGGATAAGAAAGGGCAGTCCCCATGAGAAGAAGGTAGGATCTATTTTATTACTAAAGTAGGAGGTAGATCTGTTAAGGTTGAGGTAGGTGAGAGATGCTAATCTTCACTTACAGAACAAGGCCAGGGGAAGTTATCCATAATGCCAAGAAATAGAAGACTGAAAAACATATATTAGGAAGTCATTGGTGACCTTATCTAGAATAGCATGAGTGAAATGAGTGGGCTAGGGATTGAGGACAGGGGTGAGAGGTTAGAATGAATGGATACAACTCCCTTGGGAAATATGAAAGGAAGCAGAGAAGGTAGCAGCTGCAGGTGGGGAATGAGAAGGATTTGAAGGGAACCCACATGAGTCTAGCTATGGATACAATTATGTTTAAATACTGAAGGGAAGGCATTAGGGTGACAGAGAAATAGAAGATACTGGGACCCTGGGTAGTAATGGGATCTCTAGAGCAAAATTCTGCAGAGAATTAGGGGAGGAATCTAAGAACTGAGATTGAAGGGGAGCTGAATGTTCTAAATAGACACTGAAGAATGAGAATAAACAAGGACAAGTGTGTGTACCCTGCAGCCAGGGCATACAACCATGAATTTATAATGGCTGCCTGCACAGCATATGACTTCTCTTTAAGGATTCCAGAAAACAGGCTGGATTCATTCTGGAAGAGGGTTTGCTAGCTAAGAGTGATGAAGTTCAATAGGTCAAGAGGGTAGAGACTACTGCAGTAACCTTGGGAGCAGATTTTTACACTTGCACATCAGAGCACTAATCTCTAGTATATATAAAGAACTCAAAAAGCTAAACACCAAAAAACAAATAACCCAATCA